ATGATCCACATGATCAGGCGAGTGGTTCATAATTGTGGTGGCAGCATTGTCAAATTTATTATACTGTATGGACAGGTAGGTAAGTTCTTTCTAGTGACTGCAGTTTATCACAAGCTCAAATAAATGCTAAGAATATGTTGCTTGAGAAACATGCCATAACTTTCTTTGCAGAAGAATATCCTCTACTGTTCACATAGAAGAATTTTGCATGACTGATTTTAGTTTCTAGACTAATAATGTTTCAGCTTTGGAACCCCAAATTAATTGAGGTGGAAATGGATGTGCAATGAGACTTGTCTTATGTGCTGAGATTTAGCTCATCACCCAAATTAATTAGGTAGAGAACAGTTTTAGAACCTATCATTTTTGAGCAATTGAAGAACATTAGAACAATGAGTTTGGATCCTTGTTTTCTCAAATAAAGCTTTACTTGTAACTATTTCTTTTGTTATATAGTATTTTCCTAGGAATTGTTGCTGGTTTAAGTTAACCAAATTTGGTTGGTCAGTGCCTCCAAGTTAAGGTCTGCTGTTTAATTTTGTAATTCTACGTGCTAATCTACATTGACTGTTTAGACTGAGATTTGAGCACTATAAGTGGGTCCTAATTCTAGTAGAACTGTGTAATACATGTGCCTTGTCATCATGTTTTGCTCAGCGCTCGTGACCTATTTTTATTTTTTTAGTTTGAGATATTTCGTCACTACTCTGTGCTAGTATATAACTGATCTGTTCATTCGCAGGACCTTACTGTCTCGGGTCTTTTTGTGGGTTTGTTTTTAGTCTTCTCTTTTTTGACAAGTCTTTTTTTAGTTTTCTCTAGGTTGGTTTTTGGATTTGGTCTTGCTCGACAGGTTATATGAGTTGGTTTTTGAGTTCTTCTTCGATAGTTTTTAGCATGTTTACCATGTTTTATGTTTGGTGTTGGAAACTTTGTGTCCTTCGTGCATGTGAACTTTTTTAGCTTTATGAGTTATAGCTATTGTTTGGATTTTTTTGTTATGCCCATTCATGTCTTTGCCTTTTAGCTTTTCTATTTTTTTGTTAGGCTTTACTTTTTTGGGTGTGGCAGTCATGTGTATTTGTCCTTTGCCTTGAGGGTGCTGATGTCTTATATGTGTGTTGTGTAGATTTGCATTGTTTTTCTTTTTGAGTTTGAACCTTTTTTGTTGATTTTAGTTGAGTTTTTTATTTGTGTTTTTGTTTCTTTGTGCGTACATGTGTTTGCTAGCCTTGATGTGTGAGTGTTTGTGTGTGAGTGTCTCTTTTTGTGTGTGTACATGTGTTTGCTGCTTTGGTGCCTGTTTGTGTTCGTGTGTGTGTGTGTGGGTGTGGGTGTTCGTGTGTGTGTGTGGGTGGGTGTGGGTGTATGTGAGTTTTTTAGTGTGTGTTTCTGTGTGTGGGTGCTAGCTTTGTGTGTGTGTGTGAGTGTTTGTGTTTGTGTGTGGGGTGCATGTGTCTTCTAGCGTTGTTGGTGTGTGTGTGTTTGTGCGGTTTTGTGTGGGGGGGGGGGCGACTGTATGTTTGTTTGGCGTGCTCTGTGTGTGTGTGTGTGTCTGTCTGTGTTTTTGTGGGGGTGTGGGTTTATGTGGGTTGCTGTTGTTGCTGATTTAGCTACTGGTGCTGCTATTTGTGTTTTCCCTATTGAGGGCTCCAAAGCCTATTGAGTGAGTTGTTACTGTTGTTGTTGTAGTTTTTGCTACTCACTAATGTTGCTGATTAAGCTGCTGGTGCTGATATTTGCCTTTTGCCTTTTGAGAGCCTCAAAGCCTCCTGATTGAGCTGCTATTGCTGTTTTTGCAGTTGTTGCTGCTTTCTGCTGCTGCTTTTTGTCTTTTGCCTTTTGAGAGCCTCAAAGCAAATTGATGCTACCTAATTTTTTCCTAAGATGTCCACTGATGTTTCTTATTTATATGTGAGATGTTTAGAGTTGATTTAAACCTCTTATATATTTTTATATTTTATATTTAACTTGTTCAGTTATAGACGTGGTGATTATTGATGTGTGAGGGAGCAATAGAAGGTGTAGTCGAGCTGAGTTTTTTAGTTGTTATTTTTAGAGTTGTTTGCTAGCTTTGATGTGTTTGCTAGCTGCAATCTTTTTTCAAGTAAACTATTTGCTGGTCCTGAAGTAGTCTTGAGATGTGGTGTTATTCTTTATAATCTTTTTTCTTATTGTCTGGAGTTGGGCTGTATCGACCCATACCTATTGTACATCGTTAAGCCCAACGTCGTTGTGCATAGCAGCTTGGGCTGATAGCCTCGTGTACGCATGTAGGTACTGTACCTGTGTACTCCTACGTGGGTGCAGTTCAGATAAATGGATGGTGTGGCCGTAGTAGTAAGTACTCGTACTAATAATAATTAAAAACTATAGCGTGTGTTTAAAGTGATCCATCTGATCAGCTTGTCCCTGAGAATGCAGGGAGGCAGCGAGTGTCGTCTCTGCTCTCCACCGGTCACCGGTCTTCTAGTTTACGCTCCCTTTGTCTCTAGTGGTCTATAGTAACAACCTTTGCCCTACACACTGCAGCGTGCTGCTCTCCTAGGCCGCTTGGTGACTTTGGAGAGTTTGCAGGTTATTACTATTTTTTTTTTGCTAAAATTCGACCTGATATCTACTTGATGCCGCTTTTGTTTATGTTGTGTTATAGGGCTCCTTTGTGTTCTCTTTGTTCTCCCGGATTCGTATGTTGGTCCTGAGTACAAGGACTATGGAGGTACCTTTCTTGCCTCACAGATATAGTTTTGTTTTGTGGTATCACTGTATGATTTCTCGTATCGAACTTAGGAGGCACATGTTGGTATATGTCAGTGCTTGATTGCTTATAGTAGACCAATTGATTGCTTGTAGTAGATTTGGTCTAGCAAATTGGATGTCTTGTAAACATATCTCATTATGGAAGCATGATGAAGCCTGTATATTAATTTCAATCTTCCAATGCCTATGGATTGATATCTAGACTTTCTTTTAGCCTTACCTGAATGAGACGAGAAATTAGGTTCATTATTGAATTTGTTAGAGATATGGTTCCGTTTTAATGCTGTCTCGTTAGGCCAAATCTTATGCTGTTGATATTATAGTCCATCTTGGCAAAGCTGTGAAGCCTTGTGGGCAATGCCCAGCTTTGAATGCTAATGGACTGATAACAAGTGTCTCTCTAACGGTTCTGCGCTTCAATGAAATGGGGCTCAGATCAATAGGGATGAGACACTGCAAGCTCATTTTATGCCCAATCTAGAGGCTTTTATATGTTTTGTCTACATTATTTGAACCAGTGTCCAATCCCAACCACACTGGCCTTACTGTGTTTTGTCCTTCTGCCTATCACTGTCACTGAAATTGATGGGCTTTCTTGCTTGTGTGTACATGTGTTTTGCTAGATTTGATGTTTGCATGCGCGTGTGCGTTTTATTGTTGCGCTACTGTTGCATCTTGGATGTTGGAGCAGTAGTAAACTGCAGTTGCTGTTTTGCATGCATAGATAACTTATTGGGAGTGGTCGCAGCTGCAGGATGTCATGTTCAGATTGGAATGGGGAAGAGGTAGCCAGAAACCATGACCAAAGGAGTCAGAGCTTGTGATGGTGAGAGGCGCAATGACGATGAGGCTTGGGGATGGCAGGCACAGCACGGTAGGAAAAGAGAAGAACTGCAGCTGCAACATCCATCAGTTTAGTTCTCGCAAGAGCAAAAGCAAAAGCAAAAAAAAGATGAATGTGTATGCATGTGTAGTGTAGGCGTGCATCAACTTTGCTATGCTCTTTAGGCTTAGTTGGTAATTTTTAGTTGTATTTGTTAATGGGTTTTGGATATTGTTGGATATTGTCTTGTGTTATAAAAATCTGAAAGATTTTTTTTCTTTTTGAATCTGTCAGTTTCGATGGTGACGTGTCATCATCTCATTTGTCTAGAATTTGATAGATTTTTGGTTCAGAAATCTGTCGACAGTTGGGTAGACAGACCCTTATTTATATTGATATAGAATGTGCGCCCATGTGTTCATAGAAGCTGAATGATTGCATTTGATTGGCCGAATTAACATGTATCTAGATTTGTGCAATGCATCCTATTTATATTTGTTTTTTCCTAAGAAACCCTTATGCAGATTTGCACAATACTCACAAGCAGGTTTAATGCTGCGTTAGCTAGTACGGATTTAATAATATTAGTCATTACACACTTTCACAAGCCGACGAGCCATAAAAATAAAATCTTATCGCCTCCTTTACCTCTACTAGAACACAGATGTGACATAAATCATATTGTAAGCAACGGAGCATAGTTTTACTAAATGCAGTTTGCATGCGCAAGACAACAAAATGCCATGCATATATTATGTTGGCTTGTGAATTGAGCATGTCTCAACTTGGCTTTTTTGGTGAAATACTCAAATTTAAGACATTGATTATTCCATGATTTAAGGGGTTGTTCTTTCGATGGTGGGTATGTCGTTGACAGTGAGACACATTATGATTTCATCGATCTCGAGATCTCTTGTCGGAACCTTTCAAAGATGCTCTTAGGGCAAGGTAAGTTAGGGCATGTATATGTTTTCTTATAGGGATTAGTATGCAAGTATACGTGGATGTCTGTGTTTGTAAAGTGATTCAAAAAGAAAATTATGTTAATTTGAGCTGTGCTATATTAAGGTTAACGCGAAAGCTGCAAACAACTAATCAAGGCTTAAAGTGTGTTGCTTGTGCCGTGTGGTCAGGTGTAAAAGCTTTTTCATTGACAATCTAAAATTACAGATTAAGTTGAGGGTCCGTATGCAAAACGCGTCTGTCACACTGCCATTTGTCACGAGAAAGCAAGCAGGTTGTTGTACGCGATCCGACGTCTCCTCGCCCGCCTCTCTCGTTCATTAGCTCGTAAACCCCACTCACTTCTTCCTTCTCATCGGCTCTTCTCTTCCTCCGCCCAAACCCCAGTTTGCTCCTCCGCCCGCTCGAAAACCCCAAGTCCCCAAGCACAGCTAGGGCCGCCGCCGCGGCATCCATGGCCACCGAAGACGACGAGACCGGAGACCGCGAGAATGCAGACCCCAACCGCTGCTCCACCGCCGACGCGCCTCTATCGCCCGAGAACACAGAAGGTGATTCCCCCGTCCCCAGTCCCCACCTACACTTTCCCCAACTTCCGCGTCCTCTCGATCAGGTGCTCGATTCGAGGAACCGACGCTAGCCCTGGGCCTAGCTTTTGGTGGGTTGGCTTGATTTCCCGTTGGTGGTGTGGCGTGGTTGATCGATCTCTCGGTGCCTGCGTGTGTTAGTGTGTACGAGCTGGTGCGCTGCGTGGTTCCGTGTGCTCGGGTTTGCGCGCCGTTTCTGGGGCTTGTGGTGTTTGCGGGGTTTGGGTGGGGTGGGTGTGAAGCAAATTGGTGAGCTTGCGAAGCCTTTTGTTTTTCCGGTTGTTTTATGAACGATCGCTTATGGTCTCTCTCAGACTGAAAGTGATTAATTAGTAGAGTGAGTTGGGTGCGTGTTCTGGTTTAGTATGTCGAACATGTGGACTACAGTATGGACTTCGGATCGGTTAGATTTGATTGCAGCACTGCTCGTTACATGCTGTTTTAAAGTATTTTACATTTTTTTTTGCCAGTAATGTCACAAAGATGTTAGATCTCGTTGCTGATCGCTCTCAGGTCCTCTTTTTGCCTGTTATTTACTATTAACAGTTCTGCGGTGATGCTGGTTTCAGAGGTCTTTTGAAATCCACTCTACCAAAACACCGCTAATCATGATAGCTTACTTCTAGTAACTGATTTTAAGTGCAAGATCTTACCATGAACTACTTTACTAAATTAACTTCTTTCCTTTTTTGAAATGATATAATTGGTAAAATGCTTGTTTTGCTTGCTAGCTTCGAGCTTGATTTTTTCTGTATAAGCAAATTCACACTAATCATGATAGCTCACGTTGAAGTAACTGACTTTAAGTGCAAGATCTTACCACGAACTACTTTAATTAGTTATCTCGTTTCTTTTTTTTTGAAATGATGTAATTGGTAAATGCTTGTTTACTTGCTACCTTTGAGCTTGATCTTTTCTGTATAAACAAATTCACACTATTGCATTAAACACAGCATAACCAGTATCCCCTGTTGTAGTTGTACAAATGTTTAAATTCTGTTGAGTTTCCCCCCTTCTCTTTTGATAATTATGTGTCGTTAATCACTATGGAGTGTCCTTCGACGTACCCATAAGCAAAGCATTTGCTGGTTATAAATGGAGACCTGTTCTTTGTTTCTGAGCACAATGATTTTGTGCTTGCTTACAGTACCATTTTGTCTCTGCAGACAAATCGGACCTGGACACCAAGAGCACACTATCTATTCAGTTACTTCAGTCAAAACCGGGGGAAAACAAGGTGATGGCTGTTACTAAACAAGTGTTTATGAGTCCCTTGACTTTCAATCTGTGTCATCTTGGTATCTAACTTTATGAGAAGTATTAGCTAGAGTAGAAAAGCATGGTCCTTAGACTCATGTGCCCTTGGGTACAAGATCTGGATACATCACATTTTCTTTTAATGATCAAGCCCCCCTTTGGAATGCGGAATTTTTTTCCTGTTTCCTGTATTTTCACGTGAAATTGAACTAATTCCTGAGGGGCCCGAAACCAGTTTTTTCTAGCTGCACTTTCTCTCCCTTTCTCAGAAAAATCTTATGAAACTCAAACTTGTTAAATTTCTATTGGGTAGAACAGTTCTTTTTGCTAGTCTGGCCATGTTATGTAAAATGATATCAACATAGATTGCTGAATAATAGAATTGCTTTTAGATTGCTATTACCCTCAGATTACTCTTTCTGTATTAGTGATGTATTCTGATATTTTCATTTATTTGTTGCAGGAGCCTGGTTCACATGATATCCATTTTAACTCTGCAAACACGCCAGGAAACAGTGAAGAAAGGAACAATACTGGAAAGAAAAGAGATGTTTTCAGGCCTTCTGTGTTTGATAGAATAACTGGCCACCGTGACCAATGGTTCAATGAAGACACAAGACTGAATTCAGATTCCCATCGAACTAAATGGAGGGAAATGGAAAAAGAACATAGTAATATGAACAGATTGGAACGGCACCGTGATGACACCAAGCAGTATCTTGATAGCCACCTGAGTCCAAAAGAGCGCTGGGTAAGGTCACCTAGTTACGTGAGAAACTATGACCAACGCCGTGATAATAACTGGAATCTCGCTGGGGTCCCGGTAGTAAAGATTCTGAAAATTGGCGTGAAAGGTCAACAGATTCAGATAGAAAAGATGATGCTCCCTGTGAAGAAGTTTTTTCTCACAGTACAGGTCATGGGAAAGAAAAAGATGGTAGCAATCATGAGAAGGTTAATGAAAGGGACAGTAATATTTCTCGATCGTGGAACTCCAGCTATTTTGCGAGCCGTGGTGCAGGAGGAGGTACATCTGATCATCTTTCCCCAGATCCACAGAAGTTATCTGCTTCATTTGGACACAGTAGCTATGGGCAGGAAAGTGATAGCCCAAACTCTACAAGTTCTCACAGAAGGTTTACATCTGTTACAAGCAGAGTCAATAGTCGATCTTCACGCCCATTCCATCTTGGTGTACTTTCTGACAGGCCTGGTGGTCCATCTAGAAACTCTGTGAGATATAGCAGGATAAAATTGTTTGAAATATACAGAACAACTGATGTTAGAAACTTTGTAATGCCGATAGATGATATTGATAACGATGAGATATCTTCATTGTGGCAAGAAGATCCTATGGATCCTTTAGCTCTCATTGCACCTAATGCTGAAGAAGTGGTAATTTTCACTTTTATGTTGTCTTTACTGGCATAGGAAGATCTTACGATAATATGATGCCCTAATCTTTTAGTTCTGCTTGTGTTAATAGGTGATTTTGAAAGGAATTGAAAAAGGAGATATCACAGACAGTTTGGCAAAAGCTTGCAAAGATGGTTCTGATGACAAAAGTAATCCAGATGTGGTGGCATTAGAACAAATGAAATTAAGTAAGAAGCAGCTCCTGACTTTTGTTATCAATCTGCAGAAGTTCTTGAATATGTGTCAATTATTTTTTTCCTTCTATTTATGCAGGTGGAAGAGAAGATCAGACAGGAAGCAGTGAAGATTTCAGTGGTGAAATGACCATTGGTATCAGAGGTATGCGAATATGCGATAGATCTCATGCATATATTGTGAATTCAATATATTTGGTTAGTATCAGCCTCATGTGTCAAGTTTTCCCAGGATTGCGTACAGTATTTATTTTATGCACTTTAAATACAGTCATTTCTTGGAACTTAGACATTCGTATTAACAGACATGCTCATGCTTGAGAGTGGTTAACTCCTACAGATTTACTATCAAAAATACTTCTCTGAATGTATCCAGCAGAATATTTTTGAGGTTCCTTTTCTGTTACAACCATTTAAAACTCATAGCTTATAACTACATGTTTCCTTATAGGATAATATTTGCAGGCTTTGATATACTTAAGATTGTTGCACCCTAGCAAATGTTCTGTGCATATTAACAAAATCTGGTGAACCTATTCAATCTGTTTCCTTCCAATTTATTTCATCTGAAATTACAGATTTCCAGTAAAAACTCTTTGTATATAATATTTATAGATATCCCATCTTGATGCATTTTGCCTGCACCTGGGACCCTTGGCCTTTGAAATTGTAACCATGATGTTATGCATTACTGCTTTATATTCCCACATAATTTTGTATACCTTATATTTACTAAATTGTATTATCTATGATATTCGTCTTTCCTAGGAATTCTTGGGGCTGCACATTTGAGCGAACACTTGAAGTCTGAGAAATCTCCTCCAAAAGAATCTGAGTCTATTGGTGGTGGTATCCATGGGCCATGTGCTGAATTTGGACATCAGCACCAAGGAACTAAAGTTGGTGAAATGGTTGGTGTAGGTGAAAATGTTAACCCAGAAAACCTCTCTCTTTACTACAAGGACCCAAAAGGGTGCACCCAAGGTCCTTTTCCTGGATATGACATCATTGGTTGGTTCGAGGCTGGGTTTTTTGGTATTGATTTGCTAGTTCGTGTTGCAAGTGCTTCCTGTGATTCTCCTTTCTTATTACTTGGGGATGTCATGCCACACTTACGGGCAAAGGTAAGGGTGCCTCCAGGCTTCAGCAATACCAAACCAAGAAGTATGACAGAGGCCTCACATCTAGGATCAGTGTATCTTGGAACATCTGATTATGGATCCATAAACAAGAATGGCTGTGTAACTGAAGCTGAAAATCACTTTCTGGAGTCTCCAGTGTCTATTAAAACCCAGAATCCCAGAGCAGAAACTAACGTTGTTACTGGAGGTTTGTTTCTCATCAATGCCATTCTTTATGCCCATTTCTTGACATTTTCTTATCTTTGTCTGTTTATGTTGTGCCAGTCATGATGTGATTGCTATTTTATTTTGATTTCAGGTATGAATGAATGCAGCCGCAGTACATTTGGCAACCATTTTGTTTCCGGTGATGAGAAAGTGAATAGGATAAATCATCTTGAAGTACAGAAGGGGCTGTTAGAGAGGGAAAACACCTTACAAATAGACGCTGATGTCATATCAGTTGCAGAGTCACAAAGAAAAGATTCAGTCCAGTCAACTTCGCACTCAATATTCTTCTCGCAAATGGTTGGCCCATCAAATGAAGCTCTCCAACCTCAGAATATTAACCTGCTCGCAATGCTGCTTCCTACAGAAAAAGGTCAAGCACCGGCTGCTAATTCTGGATTGTCACTTTGGTCAAATAATGTTGACTCTGGAAATCTGCAAGCTGGTATGTGTGGTATAGATCACAATTCTCAGCAAATAGGTATTGATGTTCAACAGCATTACTCTTTGACACAGAATCAACCAACTTTGGCTTGTTTGAACTCACAAATCACACAGCCAGAAAAGTTTCTCAGTGAAATATCTCATGATCCTCAGCTGTTAAACAACAATCAACAACAGTATCTGCCATCAGAGCTACACTTGCAACCCCTGATGCCTGGAGTACCTCAACCTCAATACTCTCTATTGAACAACATGCTACAGCTCAGGCAGCAGGAGCAACAGCAGCAACACATTTCTCAGGCTCTACCTCATGATTGTTCCATGCAGCAGCTTTATGATCCTTCCCATGGGACAAGACATACTTCATTGTCATCTAGTGACCATATGAAGCTTTGTCTTCAAAGAACACAAGAGATTCTTGAACTTGCTCAGAAGTTACCTGGTCATGGTATGCATGATCTACAACTACCTAATCATGCAAATGTGAAATTGAGAGACACGGGAATTATTGGTTTGTCGGAAAGTTGGGCTCCTGCTCTAGCTCTACCACTGCCCCATGAAATGATGGGTCATGCAGCTTGGAAAGAATGTTCTGCTAGTCTCACACAGGGCTCTGCAGTTGTTGATGCTCCTTCACGGAAAGAAAGTATTGTAGACTTGCCATCTAAGAAAACTCTGAGTTCTGGTTCTAACGAGTATAGCAAGGTGACTGTTTTTGAAGCTCAAGGTTTTCCTCAATCATGTCAAGGTCTTGCAAAATCGGAAAGTGTCATGTCTCATATCTCCAATGAAGTTCATGAAATGGAAATTTCTTCTACCCATCCTCATTCATGGAAACCTACTCCAGGTGTTAGAACTAAATCACTGTTGGAAATTCAAGCAGAGGAACAATTGGAAACACAGAGGGAAATAGCCCTGGAAAATACTAAAGTAACCACAACAGCAGCTTCAGCGTTATCTATACCTTGGGGTGGTTTGGCTGAAACTTCTGGGCAACAGTTTGGAGATGAGACTAGACCTATGTGTGATAAAAAAAATGTCAATATATCAAAGAGTAAGAGAAGTCAGTTACATGATTTATTGGCAGGAGAGGAACTGGTAAAGTCGAATGATAAAGATGCTGTTATCATAAATAGTGCTGATGATACATCTTTTCCTCCTCTGGCACCTTCTGTTACTCAGTCTGATGCTCATCTTCATGATGGTGCTGATTTCATTGAGTTCAAGGGCACAAGAAAGATAAGGAACAGGGGGGAGAAATCCAAAGGTTCTGCAGTTAAAACCCCAGCACCACTTACAAATGCTATACCTGGCCCAGCTACTGACGCTGCACAGGTACGCGAATCATGTTCTCTGAGAAATATTCAGATGGAAGAAGAACAGGAATCAGGTAATCTTCAGCAACTAGTACCAGCATCATCCCATGCAAAACGGCCTATGGACCAGCATAGTCATGGGAACAATTCATCCTGTCAAGGTTCTGAATCACCTCCATTGAGGGGTAATGAACTCCTCAAAATGACTTCTCATGTTTCCAGTCACTCCACTCCTAATTCTGAAGAGGATCTGTTTTGGGAGCCTTGTGAGCATGCAAAGCAAGATAAGTATGTTCTTAACTACAGGCTAAACTTTGTCAGCTTTTCTTCATTCTTTTTAATGAAAAAATGGGCCTTCTTGCCAAGCTTATACCCTTTGCAAGCAAACTTATGACTGATATACATTAAATTGCACTGTAGCCATTTCTGTTTAAGTTGATCTGCAACTAAATCTCGCGAGTTTTGTTCTTATTTTCTTGCTTGGCGTGACAAGAGTTTGTTTAATAGACTTAGTCCATCATGTGCATGGACTTGTCAGTACTACAATTTGTTATTCACATCCATTACATATCCTCTCTGATTTTGAGTATGTTTTATCTGTTATCTAAACTTGCTATAATGGATGCAGTAACATGCATGATATGTCCTGGCACCTGTACTGACTTAAAAAAACATTTTTCAAGATTGAGGTGTATGTAATATGATTTTGATCTTTCAACAACACAATTTACAACTTTCTTTGGCCTGACACAATCTGTTGGCAATTCCTCGGTCATTAAAAATAAAATGTCATTCAGATATCTGAAAATGGTATTAGTAAATTCTTCTTACTTCCACAATACTGTAATTTGTATATTTCCCAAATATGTGGTAATAGAAATATAATGGTTAAAAGTAAATGTTCACCTAAATGTAATCAGTCAGTCACCTGTTGTTTAGACAATTATTGAGCAAAATGGCCATTTAATCGGGCTAAATGGCCGTTTAAACAGTTTAAATGGACACGGCTGGCCACCTTGTAGCATCTAAAAATGGTGTTTGAACTTTGGATGGGCTAAACGGTCGTTTAGGTGAACAATGGGTAAGGTGCAATATTCTGCTCTGAATAAAGGGAAAAGGGGTAGCTTCATTTGTTTCTACCAGGTCGAACTAAATAGGGACACTTTGATGTAACATGTTTAACTTTAGAATATCAAACTTTTCAAGTCCTCGTTATGCATAGATTGTGGGGTGCTTATGCCGATTAGTTTTGTCAGTTCGATATACACAAGGTATAGCTGCCATGAACCCATTACTGTTTGTGAAGTAGCTTGTGTGTATTTTGATATTTGTATGCTACTCCCTCCGTTAGAAAGTCGTTTTAGTTTTGTCCCGAGTTAAATTTGTCTAACTTTGAGCAAGCTTAATGATATATTAACATCTACAAAAATAAATGCAATATCAAAATATATAGCATGGTGTATCGAATGAATCTTGTTTGATGTTTTAGCATTTTTCTACAAATTTGGTCCAACCTAGAGAAGTTTGACTTGGCACAAAGCTACAACGACGAAACATATTAGTTTGGTTTCCAGCACTAAATTATATGAATTCTCAGTCTCAGGTTATATTACTGCATATAATTTTGTATTGTTAATCTCAGACATGGATTGATTATTGATAAAACAAGTTGGATTTATCGATGCTCATAATCAAGTCAAGTAACATAGAGCGATCTATGATTTGCTATAAGCCTTGTTTTTCTCATGCATTCTTTGATCTGCTGCAAGATATTTATGTTCTTTGTAATGCATAACCAGGCCGGGACTCCAATCACCTCCGAGCAGGGCCAGAGCTTCCATGGTCAATACAAGATCTGCTGCATTGGACATTCAGAAGAAGGGGAAGAAAGGTAAAAAGCTGAGCTCGTCAGCTTTGGGGTTCAATGTTCAGAGCACCCGTATCATGATGGGTGAGATCGTGCATGCTGACGAGTAGATGGCCTATAACAGACTGGTATATATAGTTGATATATGTTGAGTTACGAACGGCGACCAATTCGTTTACTGATGCACATAGCTTACACTTCGCATCACCGTTTTAGCACGGAATTTTTCTCATAGTGGACGAGCTTCCTGAAGATGGTTATTATATTGTAGTAGAGCAGATGATTCCCTGTCACAGTTTGGCGGCTGAAGTGACGAGAATTCAAATTGAGAAACTCGCAAAGGATTTGGTCTTCAGTAGACTTGATTGTATATGTTATATTATAACATAAAAATCGTATAATGTTTGTTGCACGGCGGATTTTATGCGAAACTGGAGCCTGGAGGTTCCAGAGTCAGTGGATGTCAGGATTCTTTCATTTGCATTATGGAATATTGCAGTGCTTGGTTCTGACCATTCTGGAGTTTCTGATGGGATCGTTTTCGCCATTCAATTGCACAATAGCGTGAGAATACATGAAAGCATACTAACGATATTGTTATGACCAAATGTTAGCGGCTAGACTCCAATACGAAGTAGCCGGAGGCCCGGGAGCCGGACAAGTCTGTCGCATCCAATGATCCAAGCCACTAGGCTGCCGTCGTCACATTTTCATCCCTAGTCCCTAGATCATGTGCCTGATATTTAATCCCCCGAAGGCTGATTAACAGGACCTTCTTTTTCACTTTGAAACAGGGGAAGAAATAAAAGTATACTTGCAGACCAACCAGTAACATTGCCCAGAATTGAATTGAATTGAATTAAAATTAACCAACCATATTTTACCATCGAGTTACAGTCTAAATTATGAGATAACAGCAGTGCTAATCCGTCTGACTTTGGCAGCACCGCATCTAAAGAACATCAGTTACTTGGCAACGCAAGCGACAAGAGAGAAACCACAAGAAACACGAACACATAAACGCCGATGATGAAGGTGAAGTCGGCCGGGACATCACGATTTGCCACGGCGGGCCGCGTGACGTCGCCAGTAGCCTGCCGCTCGGCGGTGGCGCAGTCCTCCAGCGCCGACTCCAACGCCTCGGCGGCCGCCGCCGCCTCTGTCGCCAGCGCGCGGTCCAGATCCCGTTGCGCGGCCTCCCGTCGCCCCACCTCCTCCATCGCCAGCGCACGCTCCGTGTCCCGCACCGACCGCGCCGTGAACTGGGCTTCCGGCGTCGGCGCGCAGCTCCCCGCCGGACCACCACCCGGGGCCGCTGTGCCGGGCACGTCGCAAGTATCGTCAACGTCGTCGTAGCTCCGCTGCTGCTGCTGCTGCCCCGACGACTCGAACGCCTCCGCCGCGAGTTGCCGCCGCAGGTCTTCCAGTACCCGCCGCAGGTCCTCCCACAACGCTTGCCTCTCCGTCTGACTTTGGCAAGCAAATCCCCAGCACTGGCTTTCGACGCCGCCGCCGGTTGTGGCTCTTGCTCTTGGCCAACCGTAGAGGCTTGTCCCATTGACATCAGCCGCAACCTCACCGTCGCCATCTTCCATGTCAGAATCAGTATCAACGTCGTCGTAGCCGCGAGCAGTGCGACCAGCAAACTCCGGCCGCCGGGTTCCGTGGCTCGGCTCAGCGCTGTAGCCACATGCCGCAGTAGCAGTAGCAGCCTCATCTTCCCCGTCGGAACTGTCAATGTCGTCGTCGATGGCACAGTCCCTGGGCAACAGCATGTCAAACAAGGACCCGTCTTCCTCCTCCTCCTCGTAGTCGACGTAGCCGTGCTCGTTCTCGTCCTCATAGTCGTCCATGTTGGCGCCGGATGCCTTAGATTTCTCTGCTACAACAACAATGTCATCTTCCTCATCAGACTCCAAGCAATCGCCATCTTCCATGTCAGAACTGTCGGTATCCATGTCAGAACCAGAACCAGAGCTGTCGGTATCCATGTCAGAACCAGAACTGTCGGACTCCGACCGCTCCTTCACTGCCCCGTTGGCACTGGCCGCACCCTGCTCTGCGTTGGCGTCGCATGCCGTAGTAGCCCTGGGAAACAGCATGGCAAAGATGTCTTTTTTGCCGTTCTCCGCTACACCAACGACGTGACTGCTCTCCTCCTCCTCGCCAGAGCTCACCGTGTCCTCCTCTTCTTTCTCCTCCTCCTCGTAAGTGTTCTCTGAGTCGTCTTCTTCGTCGTCCTCCTCGCCGTAGCTCTCGGCGTCGTCATCCGAGTCCACGCCAGAGCTCTCAGGATCGTCCGGTTCATCGCCAGAGCTCCCTACGTCATCCTCCTCGCCTGAGCACTCCACGTCATCGTCGCCAGAGATCTCCGGGTCATCGTCGCCCTCCTCCTCGCCAGTGCTCTCGGCGTCGTCCTCCTTGTCAGCGATCGACGCCGCTGATCGGAGGAAGAAAATATGAACAGGAACTACGAGGAATCTCGTCGGCAGAGAGCCGGTTTCTACTTTACTTCTACAGCAATGTAATGGATACATAGTTCAAAAGTTGTTTCTCTTCCCCTCTGCTATCCCTCTTATCTACTCACTAGCGGGCCTCTCCTACAGACGACACGCGCGGCTCATTCCGGCCCAGATAGCTTGACGTTCCTGGTCCTCTTGCGGTTCCCCGTCCTAGGCCTTGGTGCAGCTGCTGCATCTCCAGGATGTGGTCTGCTAATAATCCCTCCCCCTTGAGTTTCGGCATGTCCCCATGCCGGAGCGGCCCAGATAGCTTGACGTTCCTGGTCCTCTTGCGGTTCCCCGTCCTAGGCCTTGGTGCAGCTGCTGCATCTCCAGGATGTGGTCTGCTAATAATCCCTCCCCCTTGAGTTTCGGCATGTCCCCATGCCGGAGCCGCTGGGAAGCGCTGGACGATGGCGTCGGCGTCTTCCCAGGTTGCCAGGTCTTCGTCGAGGTCCGACCATTTGATAAGCAGCTGCTTCACAGAACGATGCCCGCGATGATGGAGACGCGTCTGCAGCACACGTTCGGGAACTTGGAGATAGTTGTCGGGGTCGGGGAGGTTGGCGCAGATGTTCGGCGGAGGAGTGGACGCCGGCTTGAGGAGGGAGACGTGGAACACCGGGTGAATTGATGATGAGGGAGGGAGCTCCAGCTTGTATGCCACGTCGCCAACCTTTGCCAGGACCTTGAAGGGGCCGAAGTACTTGAAGCATAACTTGTGATGTGAGCGCGGAGCCTGTGAAGCCTGCACGTACGGCTGGAGGCGAAGGTAGACGAATTCGCCCGCTTGGAATGAGCGCTCGGACCGCTTCTTGTCAGCTTGGGCCTTCATACGCTGCTGTGCCCGCAGCAGATGCTGACGCACAGCGGCGAGCATTGTGGTGCGCTCCGACAACATAGCAGCCACGTCCGGCACAGGGGAAGCAGAGGCGTCAGTAATACCAAAGTGATGAGGAGATCGACCATAGAGTACCTGGAACGGTGACCGACCGAGGGCTGAGTGCTCGCTGGTGTTGTACCAGTACTCCGCGAGGGACAACCATTTCAGCCACTGGCGAGGACATGAATGTACAAAGCAGCGCAAGTACGTCTCCAAGCACTGGTTGACGCGTTCGGTCTGCCCGTCGGACTGCGGGTGGTAAGCAGAACTCATGGCCAGGGTCACTTGAGCGAGGCGAAATAGTTCTCTCCAAAATGAGCTTGTGAAAATTGGATCACGGTCCGAGATAATATGAGTTGGCAGACCATGAAGGCGGAAGATGTTATCCAGAAAAACTTGCGTGACCTTCTGAGCAGTGTAAGGATGGCGAAGGGGAACGAAGTGTGCGAACTTACTGAGTTTGTCCACCACGACCATGATGCAGTTGGCATTCCCCGAGGTCGGCAACCCCTCTATAAAGTCCATTGAGACCATTTGCCAAGCTTCTCCGGGAACCGGCAGAGGGGATAGCATCCTGGGTAACGAGCTCTGTCAGGCTTTGGTTGGATACAAACTGAACAAGCAGCAACGAAGGCCTTGACGGACTGCTTCAGCCCTTGCCAGAAGAACAGCTTCTTGACTCGGCTATGTGTCACCGGAAATCCAGAATGCCCGCCGAGTGCACTATCATGCAGTGCTGAAATAATTCTGTGCTGAAACTGTGGATTAGCCCCGATCCATATACGTCCAGAATGCCGAAGAACACCATTGACTAGTGTAAAGGGAGGGCTGCTCTGAGGATTGACTGATAATTCCTGGAGCAACTTGGTGGATTCAGGATCAGCAGCATAACCGGCGGTAACTTCAGCTAACCAGGCCGGGGTTGAGACCGATATAGCCTGGAGCTGTGCTGGAGGGTTAGGATGGCGTGACAAAGCGTCAGCTGCGGCATTAGAAGTGCCCGGTTTATACACCACTTGGTACTAGAGACCGGCTAACTTTGTATGCATCTTCAGTTGCCATTGAGTTTGCAAGCACTGATCAGTGATATGCATCAGACTGAGCTGATCTGTATATATGATAAACTCGCTATGCTGCAAGTAAGCTCTCCAATGTTCCACTGCCACCAAGATTGCAAGAAACTCCTTGTCGTAAGTGGACAAATTCCGTGTCCGAGGACCCAGCGCCTTGCTGACAAAGGCCAGTGGGTGACCCTCCTGTAATAGTACCGCTCCCACACCGGAATCACAGGCGTCTGTCTGGATGTGGAACGGCTTGGAGAAATTGGGAAGGGCCAGTACCGGGGCAGTCACCAGAGAAGATTTGAGTGCATCGAAAGCCGCTTGATGATCGGGTGTCCACACGAACAAAGCTCCCTTCTTGAGAAGATTGGTCAGAGGCCGAGCCAATACGGCAAAGTTTCTGACGAACTTACAGTAGTATCCTGCTAACCCTAGGAAGCTGCGCAGTTCCTTGATGTTCTGTGGTTGAGGCCACTGTTGCACTGCTTCGATTTTGCTTGGATCAGTGGACACACCCTAGGAGCTCACGATATGACCCAAATAAGCGATTGATTGCTTGGCGAAGCGGCACTTGCTGAACTTAACCTTCCACCGATCCTGGGATAACAAAGTGAATACTTGGCGAAGGTTTTGGACATGTTCCTCTAGAGTACGGCTGTATACCA